CCTGCAGCTAATCGAAGTAGCAAAAAAGAAAAGCGAAATATAAGACCACTTTTTAGTGAGAAAATGCAAGAATCCCTTTTAAAAAGGTTTGGAAAATTATAAAGATCCCTGAAGAAGCCAGTGAAGCGATGTCTTGGTTACAAGACCCGAAAATTCAGGATTTCATATGAAATATCATCGAACATATAGGCAGAAACAGAGCAGCAAAAAGTATGACACAGAAATTAGCAGTTGAATTTCGAGCGGCAATGTATATTATGAAAATCCCAGAAGAGAAAGATCAGCTGACAAACGCACACCTGATGATAAATAAGGAATTACCGTATATACCCGCGTATAAGTCGAGATATTTTGGACAAAAAAAAAGATTTCAAAGTGGTGGGGTCGACTTATACGTGGGGCCATAAAAAATTAAAAGAATCGGAAGTTCAAAAATTTCTTTATATAATGCAGTTGTTTCCTTCCCGCACTTCAAATTGGACGACTTATCAAATAAGTCACTTACTTGAAGTAATTTCATTGACTTAAATTATGTGATGAACTAATCACAGAGTTTCATACTTTAGAGCTAGAGTAGGTTTCGATTAAACCAAAGAATTTTCGGCCCCCGAACAACCGATCAATATCGAGCAATAAAAAAGTTTCGCCAACACACCAAGAAAAGAGAAATGCAGATAGTTTTTATGTAGACACGGAAGATGATGGTATATTTGAAAGTGAAAATGACGACGAAGGCTCTAGTAGTGATTGTAACAATACAGAGTTCGAGACTGAAAATATGTATGATGACGAGCCAATGACGACAGAAGAGTTCTATGAAATGTTTGGCGAATCTGACCATGAATCGGACGTTGAAGGATTTTGATTTTGTTTATTTACCAAGGTATTTTTTATCATATATTTACTTTTTTTCCTCAGATGATTTTGAATATATGTACTACTTAAAAAAATTTTTTCAAAGTTTCTCGATCGAATTCGGAAGTGGGGGGTCGACTTATACGCGGGTTTCTTATTTTCTACAAATTTTTTATGTCGAAGTGGGGGATCGACTTATACGCGGGTATATACGGTAATCATTTTCTAAAATTTCATTTTCCTTCCCTCACAGATTTCCTGTTTCAAGAAGCATCGGTCGGGGTCAGTTCTTGGGAGGGTGACCTCCCATGTGACTGGCTCTGGTCAATCACAACTGACTGTCAACAGAGAGGACTTTCTACAACTAAAGGAGGCTTTTTCCTAGCTCTACCTCATGGCAATGCCCCCTGTGACCTTTTTTGCCTGCGGGCGGTGGTGTTAATTAACACCCATTAATTTAAAAACAACCGCAATTGGCCTAGGGGCATTTTGAATGATTGGCAAATACCCGTTGGTGGTAGACACCAAAATTTAAGTGATGATTCCTAGATTCCTACTTCAAACATAACTCACACAGCGACTGATTGAAGTAGACACATTAAAGGCGCTCGTTTGCAGTTATTTGCTGTATGATTTTAAAGTAGACCTGTCAGCAGCAGAATCAAGTCACCAAATTTTCCAGGCCTTTGGGGATTATGCTGTTATAACAAATGAAATGCTAGGCAATAGTTCCAAAAGTTCAGGCCAGAGAATATGTCTCTTAGTGATGCACCACGCAGCAGTCGGCCACAAGTGCAGGACAACGAAGCCCTGAGTAGCCATAGAGAGTGACAGTAGCCAAACATGTGGTGAGCTTGCTGCACACTTCCAGGTATTTGATGAAACGATCAGACTTTATTTGCACTGCATAGAGCTGAGTAAGTGTGTACCCCACTCACTGTCCGATGCAAACAAGCAACACTGTGTTGCTGCCTGTTTGTCATTGCTAACTCAGCACTGCGATGCATCCATATTTTATCAAGTACTCACCAGCGATGAAAAGTGGGTCTAGTATAATCCAGACATTCCAGACTTTGGTTGTCACCATGGGACCCTGTGCCTCATACTGTGAAACCTTCTCTCCACCCACGCAAGATTATGCTCTGTATCTGGTGGACTAGTCGCCAAGTGGTGCACAATAAGCTCCTGCCAGTGGGCCAAACCATCACAGCAATTGAAGCAAAATTGTATTCACAGTAGTTGGAATGTGTGCATCAAGCACAGATGCATAAAGAGCCAGCATTGGTCATTCGTAAGGGTATACTCCTCCTCCATGACAATGCGAAGCCACATGTGGCTCGGGAGTCTAGGGACACCATCCAGCAACTGGGCGGGGAGACACTATCCCCTCCACCATACTTCCCAGACCTTGTGCAAACAGATTACCACCTTTTCAATTCCCTGGACAACTATATTCGTGAGAAAAACCTTCATCAACCGGCCAAACCTCAAAAAGGACCTCACGGACTTCTTTGCATCCAAGACTCCTGAATTTTACTGCAATGGCATCGCACAGCTAGCCACTCATTGGCAAAAGGCAGTGGATGACAGTGGTGATTACTTTGAGGATTAGTGGTGATTATTATTTGCTTTATGACTTTTTCTTTCTGACTATCCAAAATGGTAAGAATTGTTTTGGTTAAATTGTAGAATAAAAATGATAAAATATATTATCTACTTTCAGCCTCAAGTTTATTTTCTACGCTACTTTCTCATGCAACCAGACGCCTAAAATAATTATTATAAAAAAGAAAAAATAAATTTTAATATATAGTCCAGCTAGTGTAATTTCATGAGCCCATATACTAATTAACAATAACACAGATAAAGAACCATATTTATTGCTTTTAAATTTCAGTAAACAGTAGTCTTTTAATGAATAACAAATATATTAAATTTGAAAGTTAAATATCTTACACTTTGTAAAAGGGCAACACAATGGCACATGAAAGGTACATACAGTACAAAGTCCGAAATCCGGATGCCCATTATCCGGAATGATCTAAAATCCGGACCTCAAAACCAACTACAACATTTTTCTTATATGCTTTATGCATGTGCATTTGATTCTCCCCTCCATGCATAATAAAGCATCTGGAGAGTCCCGATTCTTAATTTCACTTCAACACTACATAAAATACCTTGTTATTGAAGAAACAATCATTTTAGCATAAATTTGTACGATCAGTAATTTGGCTCCATTGCTGCATATTTGCTTGGCACACATTTCAAATCGAAACATTCCACATAGATACGTCGTTGATCTGACGGCAACCTGGCAAATCCTTATTTATTATACTTTCCCTTCATCACCGCATGTTAATCAAAACATGACAACTTGAGTAATGACTCATGTAGTGATGCCTAAACAATTTTTAGTAATTGAATAATAAAGAAGTGAAGTGACCTTTTATGTTGACATTAAGCTTGGCAATGATTACAGATTTAAGTTAAATGCGCTAAAAAATGTTGACGAGGAAAAATTTACCAAAAACTATTTTTCCATATGCTAAAAACAAATTTTGATGATGATATTCATAGACTCCCAAAGATTACATTTAATAATTGAATTAAGAATAACTGATTTGTTATTCACATAAACCCAGAACCAGTGCCAAGGCTCGTATGGCCGCAACGAATAGCAAAATTTAGGACCCACAGAGACTTCATCAGGCGGTAAGATATCTAGCGTCCTCAATAAGTATATGTGTGAATTTATTTATTCAGAACTTAAGAGAAACTATTAACACAAAAAAACGAAGCAACTTAAACAACTTACATTGAAAGAAATGTTTAATAAGGTAAACAAATAAATATTAAGGGTTTTTTTTTTTTTTTTTGTAAATTTTGATACCCTTTAGATCATAAATACTTCATTATTTCATAAATCATGATTTCATATTTTAAATTTTAAAATTTCTACATGCGATCTTACTAGATTTAAACTGATAATCTAATATCCGGAAAAATCCCAAATCCGAAATTGCCAAAGTCGTTATTTTCCAGTCCAGATTTTGGACTTTGTACTGTATATGTTTTTTCAAGCAGCACAAAGCATTCCTTTTAAATTGCTGTGTTAGTTGATTACATTTGAAAGATAAATATTTTATGCTTTACCAAATGGTGCACATTATTTTTAAACTGCCAAGTTTATTAATCAAAGTTTTGTTGACTTTCCAGGAAATATTTAAAAAAAACTTTTTTAAATTAAAAAATTCCAGCTCTGATGTTCAAGTGGAGGACAATCCGTGTTCAAAATTTGGTGACTCTACATACCACCATTTTTCCAGAATACAAGGAACAAATATATATACATACACACTGTTACAAATGTTGTTTACATGTAAATAATTTTAGTGAAATTGTAGTATCTTTAGTATAATGTAACATGAAATGCTTGAAAAAGCTATGATCTGCCAGAAAAATAAGATTACAGGGGCAAGTCTAATTAACATTGAGGTAAATAATATCACTGATGCCAAATTTGGCAAGAAGGTGACCATTTAGTGACATTGGGTTTGGGTCTGTGTAACTGTAATTAAATAAATGTAATTGATCCCTAAACACAACTGTATCCAGCCCTAATATGTAGATTTAACTATTTCGGCCTTCCAGTAATTTCAAGAAATGGAAGGCACTAGAGATTTCTCAGCAGCCGGGGGGAAACTTAAAACCTGAAAAGACCATCAGTTCTCAGTTTTAGTTCAGAGCTGAATTCAGAGTTGTAAGAGATCGCCATGTGAGTTTTGCTCTTTGGATGTGCTTTGCTTTGCATTGTGTTTCATGTTACTAGTAGTTTGAAGTGTTAACTGCTGATTGTGCTCTGCCATACTGAGAAGAGCAGTATGAATACTTTTGAGGAAAATTACAAACCTGTAAAGTGTTTCTTTTGGGAAAATAAATTCTATCATGCTATCATCGGTTCTGTGTGCATTCAATCCACTATGAAACTGTATGCATGCAACAATACACACATACTTACATTCATACAGATTTTTTGCTACTTAATAACACAGACTACTGCTACTTTAGATAACTTTCATCTGAAAATATTTTAAACTGACAAAGAAATTGAGAATTATATTATTCATGAAAAACATACTTACTTCGTTCACAGACCAAAGCTGAAATTCTTCATTTCCAGTTGTACAACAAAGGTTTTCTTTACACCAAGAAAATCTGATCTTTCAAAAAATAAAAAAAAATAACTATTTTAAAATCAAAACTATATTTTGATTTTTCAAATAACTGAAACAGATACAAATATTTAAAATTAGGCCAAAAAATCAATCTTAATTTGATCAACTCTGTTTTAAGTTTGAAAAAAAAAAATAAGTAAAGAATTTGTTTTCAGTGTATATGGGCTCTTACTATTATTTCTAAAGATTTTTACATTTAATGTGCTCTTATGTGAGGTATATGTTCTTATGTGAGATATATTTCACAATTAGATTTTGAATAAAATTGTATCAATTTTGAGGGCACAAGGCCTCCTTCTTCAAGAGGGGGGGGGGAATTTTTTTTGAGAGAGTTTTATTCAAAATCCATCTCAGACAAAGATTACTTTTTTCTTCTTTTTTTGCCTAATTTTAAATTTTACATTGGTGTATTTCTCTTCTATTAGATACATATATATTTAAAATTCATCTATAAATTGGTATAATCAATAATCCACACCATATTCTGATTTTAACATGTTGATGTCTAATTTTTCAAAACTTTCCAACAATATTTTGGCAATCAATAATTTATGTAGAAGGACATATCTCACATAAGAGCACATTAAATGTAAAAATCTTTAGAAATAAGAGTAAGAGCCATATACACTAAAAATAAATTCTTTACTTTTTTTTTTTTTTTTTTTCCCAAATTTAAAACAGAGTTGATCAAATTATGAAAAATCTTTTATGTATAATATAAAAAAAACATTTTTTGATATGCCTAAAATGCAGTTTGAAAGAAGCCAATATTAAAACTATATACACTATATTCATTATCTGCTTATTTTATAGTATTCATATCTTCAGTGGGAATATAAATTTTAAATGGCATTGAAATAAATAATTAAAAATTACTTGCTTCAAAAAGATAATTACACATTTTCCAAATCTCTAATGAAAAAAATTAAATACACATCTTGAAAACAATTATTATGCATTTTAATTGATTTAATTGCATTAAGAAAAGATATACACAAATTCATTTATTGGAAGTAAAAGTTAAAATAAGAGACAGAAAAAAAAAAAAAAAATACATACTACAGAAGAACCAATGTTAAGGGTAGACAATAATGCATCTTCCTCTGAACAGCCCATAAGGTCAAATACATTAATTAGACCATCTACTGATGATGAAGCCATACCAGTGTTATGTGTAGGATGAAACTGAACCTTAAAATAATTTTTTTAAAATCAAACTGTATTAAAATATCATTTTAACTTCCATAAGGACATGTTTGCTAATACAGCTAAAAATTCATATTCTAGCAAAGTAACTCAACAATACTGCTGTAATGAAAATTCTTTTCAAGCTTCTGAAAATTTTAATCTTTATTTCATTACAAACATTGTCACAGAAGAAAATCTGGTACTTTGTTATTATCCACATTCCCACTGGAAGTTTGCAAAAAAGGATTCATAAGGCAAAGCATTGCATCACCAAAATAGTTGTGCTTAGGCTGGTGCACAATATCAAAGTTATATGAAGTCGAATTTGGGAAATACTCTGATTTTTTTAAGTGAAAACAGATCATTGTACGTAGAGGACAGCACACACACACACACACACACACACACACACACACACACAAAAAAAAAAAAAAAAAAAAAAAAAAAAAAGAAGAGAGAGAAGAGAGAGAGAGAATTTCTCAAAAACTTATACATGTTTTACTATATATGTTTCAGGCATTTTTAATTTTATTGATTGCTTACTCTTGTATGACATACTAAGCGTGCCACCATTCTGAAAATGGCTGTTGCCTTTTGAACATTAGCTTGATAAAAAAAAATTGTCACCAACAAGCTTACAAATGTTCTCTAAAGTGAACTTATTAGTATGGATGCAGATAATTAAAAAGTAACTAAAATTTTAAGCTAATTCTCAAAATTTAACAAAAAAAGCTATTAACCAATCAGAGCCAGGAGAAGGGCAAGGCATGAAAAGCACTTGCCTCAGATGAACAAATAGATAGGGTGCCAAATTAGGTATTCCAGAAATATGTATTAAAAATAATTTAGATCAATTAGAATTGATGACATTTGTTCTCAAAAGTTTTGTCTTTTCACAGAACTGTATACCCTATTTTCTAACATTAAAATTTATTATTAGAAATTAACATATAGAAGTAGATTTATGTTTCTAATAACGAGCTTCATAACTTAAATCTGCCAAGGAATATCACACATTGCAAACATCAGCAATTTTCTCCAGTCTCCATTCAATCCAAACAGCAGCTCGTACCACTCTCACTTTGCCAAAACAAGGTTTCCAAAGTTCATTAACTGCTAAAATTTGTGTCAATAGAGCAAACACACAAAAGTTTGTAGGAATTGCATCTGGAGCTTAAACAAGGATGTTTAAAAATTAAGTGCACCTTTCTATCAATATCTTCTCATACGAAATTTGGTTTGATCCAATTTTGTTTCCACAAGTTTAACACTTGATGAGCAAACAGGCTGTATTTCTGTCCTATTGTACCAACATTTAATTTCTCTGAGAATAAGCAGTTGGTTTTATTTAAGTTATTCCTGGAATAGCTACAGTTTTTGGTAGATGGGTTAAAAAAAAACAGCAACTTAGTGTTTTTTTAACTGGAATATACAGAGAGTAAAGAATATAAAGAAGTAAGATGAAATTATTTTATTTGTTTCATAGTCTATAATAATAGAAAAAGGAGTTGCTTATTATTAAACAAATAAACAAGGAAACAAATAAACAAAATTCAAAATTTTGTAGAGTAAAATTAAAGACAAATCATTTTGGCTTATTTTGAGGGAACTAATATTCAAACTGCAAAAATACCAGTATTTACTGATATCAGTAATACCAAAAAAATATTCTTACTTATTAATAATAATTGCAGTAAATTAACGTTACTTTATTAAAATAAATATAATAAGTAAAAGATTGTTATTCCCACTTTATTAAACTAGAAGCTAATGTATCAAACATTGGCGACATTCTGTAATAACTAGACTTCTATGATATGCTGCACAAAGTTTTCAGTTTCTGCTCATTCTTAATGTGAATACAAGCCAGTTTTGCACAGAAAGTCCTCTACAAACGACCTCGCCATTTTGCCTAAATCAAATTGAAAACTTGTTCAATTCAAAAATAATTACTTAACATTTATATAAATTTATCAAATTTAAATAAGGTAACAAACAATAAATCATTGCAATGAGCTAAAAATAAAAACTCTCGAAGCAAATTAATCAAAAAATGCTATGTAACTCATATGCATCAAATTTACTATTGCAAGAAACCAAACAGATAATTAAAAGCTTGCAATACGGAGCTGTAACTATACATAAAACTTACACTCATAAAACAGCGATTAACCTATACTCAAATCCCGATGAAGCACAAGTATTTGTATGGTTTTTTTGCATATATCCCCTTAGAAAGTCCTCCGTGAAAGCAAGCTTTTGTTAGACAAATAGTTTTAGCATGCTTTGAATCTCCTGTTATGAATTATGCAAACACACAAAATAGAAGGATAATCACTTTCTACTTAAATTTAAAATTCATGATATTTTTTGACACTAAGCAGCTAAAATTTAGATCTTTTAAAGGTGAGTCTTAAAGATAGTTTAGTTCTATTCTATCAGTTAAAAGTCAACATTAAGAACATTTTAACTTTGCCAGTTACTATTGCTAGTGGTAAGATAAACTTCAACAAATTTAAAACTAATATATATATATATATATATATATCCATATATATATATATATATTATTTTTCAATTAGTCGAGAAAAATTATCAAACATGGCACCTCTCTCTACAACTTATGAATTAAATACTGAAGTAGTATTTAAACAAATACACATTTATGTTCTTGCTTTATTACAAGAAAAAATAAATTATGAAAAAAGCTTGAATAGATTAAGTGCAATAATTTTTACAATTAACTACTTTACTAGTTATGCCATTTTAGTGTAATTTGCTATTTATGAAAGAGGTATTTTTAACACTTTTTTTTTTAATTTAAAAACTAAGTCAGCTGTATATCCTTCATAGTAAACTATTTCTAAAAACTGTAAATCATTGCATCATTTCCCTAAATATATAATTGAAAGAGATACAACATTTTAATTTTAAATATTTACCTTTAACAAATGTAAAATTCCACATATATAGTTAATTCAACATTATGCACTGACACAAATATATCTCTTTGCCTCAGGTAAACAAATATCTATATGGCAATACTCTCTTGTTATGACTACTGCTACCCATTTAATAAAAAAAAATTTTCTGACCATCATCAGTATAAGTTGATCATACCTGTCAATGTTCAACATCATTTGCAATGCTGCAGAAAACATTATTATTAGAATATGTACTACTAGAAGAGGATCCTAGAGAGTAGTTAATAATGGTTTATGTGATGACTGCAATAGCAATATTTGAACCAGGCAGACAGCATAAGCTGTGTCTGAACTAATGATCTAGAGCAGCGGTTCTCAACCTTTTGACTAATGCGTACCATCTATTTTGCAATGACTATTGTTTAATTTCTCAACAGAAATATTAAAAAAAAAGTTTTGCCATTTGCACAACCTATTGGCTGTTTATATTAAATTTGTACAGATAAAAAAATATTAGATTAAAAATTGATTACCATTTTTACTATCAAAATTTAAGTTACAATAATATAATTCTAAAATTTAGGGTGAAATTTGGGCTTTTAAGAGTGATCAATTTCTTTATATTCGTCTGATCTTATTTCACTTAGTTTTAATCATAAATTAAGATCTACTTCTAATTTTGTTCTGTATTTATTTTTCCAATATAACATGGAAGAAAATCCTTGTTCACACAAATAGGTTATGCACAAAGGCAATAAAAATTTAATAGCTTTATTTGAAATGTCTTTAATTTTTTTTTTTTTTCCCTTTTTGGTTCAGCCTAAAGTTAACAAGTGTGTTATGTTTGAAATCTTCAATTACAGTTCAATCATAGGAAATGTCTATCAATCCTTCTTTTTCTTCACAAGATTCCTGAATTTAGTAGTTAAAAATACTTTGCGTACCACCTATTTTTCTCTTGCACGGTTGAGAATCGCTGACCTAGAGTTAACAGTATCTCAGAATGTTCTTTGTCTGAACATAAGTCCTTAATTTTTTTTCTGGATCTAAATCTGATGTCTATTATGGATAATACTGTAAATCTTATATTGTGGCAACACTACAAAGTATGCCCACATTTCATTTCAGCACAAGTCTCTATTCAGCCTTATATTTTGCTGATATAACGCTAGAGTGTAAGATCTCAAATGGCTGGAACGAAGAGCAACCTTCAATCATCCCATAACAGGGGTCGGCAACCTGCGGCTCTTTGGATGTGAAGCTGCGGCTCTTTAGTTCCATACGCAACTATTATTTATTTTATCCAAAAACAAAAAAAAAAAAAAAAAAAAAAGATAAAGAAAAGCATCGAGAATTCAATCGGGATTGGACGCAGTCGTTCGCTTTCATATGCAACTCAGATGGCCTTCCGACTTGTCTCATTTGGGATTGGACGCAGTCGTTCGATTTCATATGCAACTCAGATGGCCTTCCGACTTGTCTCATTTGCCATGAAAAACTCGCAGACAATAAGAAATCAAATTTAGGGAGACACTTCACTAAAAAACACACTCAGTTTGCTAGTAAATATCCAGCCGGCGAAGAATGAAAAAAAAAAAAACTATCGACGAGATCCAAAAACAAAAACAGCAATCAAGATCCATGTTAAGTAACTGGACGCAATCCACAAGTAATGTTAATCTGGCAAGCTTTGCGGTATGATTAGAAATTGAAAAAAAAAAAAAAAAAAAAAAAAGCAAACCATTCACAGATGGGGAATATGTCAAATATTGCTTCATACGTGCATCTGAAGAACTGTTTTGTGATTTCAAAAAAAACCAGAAATCTTGAAAAAAAAATCAAAGATTTGCCACTATCCACTAAAACTGTACAAGATAGAAAAGCTAAAATGTCTTCAAATGTAACATATTTGCAGGTGGAAGATATTCAGCTTTCTTCTGCTTTATCACTTGCTACAGATGAGTGTTGCAACATAAAAAACATGGCACAAGTTGCCCTTTTTGTCAGGTACGTGTCTTCCCGAGATCCAAAAGAAGAACTTATAGGATTGATACCGCTCTCGGGACAAAATAGAGGGGAAGATATAGCGAATGCCATGCAAAAATGTCTTGAAGGCAATAAGATCGATTTAAATAAAATCGTTTCAATAGCAACTGATGGAGCCAGAAGTATGACAGAAAAAAATAAAGGGGCAACAACGATTCTTCAGAGCAAAAATAAACCCCGAAATTCTTATGTTTCACTGCATAATACACAAAGAAGGGCTTTGTGCCCAAACATTTCTGGCCGAAATAGTTGAGGTTATGAATTTGGTAATCAAGATTGTTATCAGCATCTCGTCAAAAGGCACTGTACCATCGTCAGTTCAAAGAATTCTTAAACGAAATGGAGACTCAGTATTCCGACTTCCTTCTTCACAATAAAGTGCGATGGCGTTGAAGCGTTCTGCTTTGTGCCTGAATGAAATAAATACATTCCTAAATGAAAAAGGCATTAATCACCCTGAATTAGAGAATGATAAATGATTGCAAAAATTTTACTTTATGGTGGATGTCACAGCGAAATTAAATGAGCTGAATCTAAAACTGCAAGGAAAAGGGAAACTCAACCTTATGTTTTGGTAGAAGAATTGGTTTGTTTTGAAGAAAAATTAATTCTTTTTGCAGAAGATATTCAGAGCGGTAAATTACTTCATTTTCAATTTCTAAAGCAATATCGCGATAAAACCAGTGCAACTGTTGACACGAATTACTTCAGCACAGTTATAAAAAAAAATTAAAGATGAATTTGCTGACAGATTTGAGCAATTCAAAACCAACAAAACCACTCTAGCATTCATAGTAAATCCTCTCAACACAAATAGTAAAGAAATCCACATTGAGCCATTTGGAATTGATACTTGATCTCTAGAAATGCAATTTATCGATTTAAAAAGTAAAGCTTTGTGGAGTGGAAAATTTACAGAGATGAAAAGCAAGTTGGAAGAGTTGGAGGTCCAGAAATGTATGTATGTAACACAACAAAAGTGGACAGCTTTAAAAGAAATGCCGCGAGTTGAGGCACTTATATTCGACTCATGGAATAGTCTTCCAGATTGCCACAGTGAGGTGAAGAAGTTGGCATATGGAGTGCTGACTATCTTTGGATCGACATATTCCTGCAAGCAAGCATTATCTTGCATGAATATAATTAAAAGTACAGTAAGAAGCCAACTAACAAATAAAAATTTAGAGTTGTGTTTGAAACTTAAAACAAGAAGTTGTGAGTCAAATTTACCTAAACTTTCTAAAATCATGCAAAGCCGTCAAATTTATCCAAACTTTCTAAAACCATGCAAAGCCAACACTCCCATTGAATTTGTTTGCTCAAATGTATGTTTTTTTTTTTTTTTTTTTTTTTTTTTTTTTTTTTTTTTTTTTTAATTTAAGTACAAGTTACATTGTTTAGTAAAGTTTAAATTCTCTACTTTAATAACCATGCAAAGCCATTCATCCCATTGAATTTGTTTGCTCAATTGTTTGTTATTGAAGTACAAGTTAGTGTTGTAAGTAAATGTTTAATTGTTTTAATTTCTTACTAAGTAATAATAATTATCTAATAATGCCCTATGTATATATTTTGTAATTTGCCATGAAAAACACTATTTATATATGAATAAATAGATATGTTTTATGAATAAATAGATATTTTTTTCTTATGAATAAATAAATTAGTTTTTAAAACACAATAACACGCGAATAAATACTAATTCAGAGAATGGTGGTTCGGTAAAACCATCGAAACTAGTCCTGTGAAAATTTTGAAAATATAATGCTGATTTTTGTTGTTTGACTTGCGGTTTTGCAGCCGAGGATGGTGGTTCAGAAAAACCATCGAAACTAGTCCTGTGAAAATTTTGAAAATATAACACTGATTTTTGTTGTTTGACTTCTGAATTAGATTAGTTTTTTTTAATCAAAAAACTTTATTTATGCGAGTACTGTTTATTGTTGGCAATAAAAAAATTTGTGGCTCTATAAAAACTTTGAAATTTTGTAAATTGTAATTTTTGACTCTTCAGACTCAAAAGGTTGCTGACCCCTGTCCTATACGCTTGCGCAAAAGGCCACCCTTTTAAGATGATTACAAATTTTTACTGTGCACCACACAAACTTGATCAAATGGCATTTAAAAATTATTAAATTACTATAAAATCCTAAAACACAAAATACGCAAATTTATGAAGATCATAAAAAAAATTTCCCGAATAACTTTAGGGGGGGGGAATATTTCAAAGAACGTTAATAAAAATTATAATATAACTTTATTAAAATTAGCAATAATTAACAACAGTAGGCACAATTTGAAATATAATTTACCTGAGTAATATCGTCAAAATGACAATTCCAGTAGCCACCAAGATTTTTTGATGTTCTACGATCCCTACAAAATAAGTACATAACTTAAAACAAACAAAACAAAAAAGGGAGACCAACAGAATAATTCAGTGATAAATATAACAGAGTAATTATAAACAGAATTATATATTTTCTCGTTACTGTATGAGGAACATATATAATTTTTAAATCTTACTTTGCATATAAGACATTAAAAGAAAAATGTTCCCTAAATTGGCTAACCATAAATGTTATTTCAGTCTGTGAATGTGACCATTATTTGCTCCTCACTTTAATGCTGGTGTTAAAAGCTTCGAAACTACAATCTTTTTACTTTCCCTCGTAGTGTTAATAAAGGAACATTATAGGTTAGCGACTCATAATTCACTATTTTCAGGGATCTCTCCTTTTCATTACAGAGAGAACCTATTCAATGATGGACTAGAAAATATCATATTCAGTATAAAGATAAATTATAATGGTAAATAATGGATACAATTTCTTTAGCTAAAAAATACACAAATAGAATTGTTTTCTAAAAAGCCTTTTGATAACAGTTGAAAGAGCAACTAAAACTATTGCTGGATATTTTTAAAAATTTTTTATTTAAACAGGGTTGCCACTCAAACAGGAGAATGAAATTCCCTAACTTTTTCAGGTGTGTTTTAAGAAAATTCCAGTTTATCTGCATAGTGCACATTTTCTGTGCTCAGAGGTAAATCAATTATGATAACAATTGAAATAACAAAAATTTGGCAATTACATATGACTGACTTATTCACAAAGCATTACTATTATAACTATAATAGCATTTGTTTTCTACACTGAAGACTGAGATTAGAATCTGCCCAATCTGGATTAAAGATGCCCCAACCCTCTTTTTTTTTTTTTTTTTTTTTTTTTTTTTTTTTTTTTTTTTGTTGTTGTTGTTGTTGTTGTTGTTGTCCAGACATTTGCAGCTAAAATGAAAGAAATATCTATTTAATGATATTTTTTAATAAATTCAGATATGTTATATTTATTTAGCAGCATACATAAGCAAAACATATGTGTAATAAATTTCATGATTTCATTAAAATTAGTTTCAAAAGCATGCCAGAAAAAATTGGCGGAAATTTGAAAGTATTATTAACTAATAATAAATAAATTTAGACAGAAAAAGCCACATTAAATTATACAGATTACATTAAAATAAAGTTACTTAGAGATTAAAAACTGAATTACAATAATCAACAATATTTTGGTGAATATAATTATAAATGGTTAGCATAGATGACTGATTACTATTTTTTTTTTTTTTTTTTTTTTTTTACTGCAAAATGACATGGCATTTATTAAAACGAAAGAAAAAAAAGTTTTAAAAGATTTTGTGGTAAAATCTTAGTATAGGGTATGGCCTTGGCATGATTTTGAAAACTGTCACCAAGATATCTGTTAAATAAGATAGCATTTGCACCCACATTTGATCCTCAAAGCACTTAATAAAATTTTGTTTGTTTGTTTCATTGAAAACATGCATTCATCTCTTTAGCTAAAAAACCTTATTAAGAACTTTGCGCCTCTACTTAACCAACAGATTTTGGTGCATACCAACAGATTTGTGTGCTGTTTATCCATGTTTCCAGAGAGCTTTTCATAACTTCTGGAGTGAAGTGGCTATTGTTTAATGAAGTTCACTATTTTTATAACACCACCAAATACTTTTGCAGTTCATTGATATCAGCACTTCTATACGAATAAAACAGTACGATAAAACAACACAGACATTTTTTCCCCTTTTACTATAAGTCTTTCAAGGAAGATCCCCCTTTTTTTTTTCAGATACGCAGATAAAATATTAACTACAGTCAAAAGTCGTTAATCCGGACTCATCGAGACTTCGCCGATTTTGGATTATCGATTTTTCCGGATTATAGATCATCAGTTTAAATCTGGTAAGATGGCATGCAGAAATTATAAAATTAAAAATATGAAACTCTAATTTATGAAATAAAGAAAATTATGATCTAAAGGGTATCAAAATTTACAAAAAAAAAAAAAAAAAAAAGCTTAATATTTATTTGTTTACTTTATTAAACATTTCTTTCAATGTAAGTTGTTTACATTCCTTCGTTTTAGGTGATAATACTTTCTCTTTAATTCTATAAACAGACATAATTTCTTGTTCAGTTACAAAGTTCCGCTGTTCAAATCCTATAATTGCTGTGTCAAGCGAATTATAATGACGAGGAATTTGATTTAAATCATATCAAAGACGGAGCACATCGAGATGAAATACTACATTTAGTAAGGAATTATAAGCCAAATAAAATAAAAACATCTGCCCTGAAGATAAGGATAGTGCTGACAGATCAACTTCCAATTCATCGTTGTGGCGTTTCCTCCCCCCCCACCCCCCCCCCGCCTCAGAGCAGCATGAAATTGATAAACAGATTTCGGAATGGTTAGAGAAAAAAAAGGATATGTCTTTATCCACTTTCTGCAGCAATTTCACTTTTTGTTTGATGGACATCGAAACATACTTTCACTTTGTAGATCCTTTGGGAGCTTAAGCATCAGAAATTCTATTTGACATAATCGAAAATTCGAGCTTACTTTTATAAAATTGCTCTAACAGTCTGCAAAAAATAATAACCGGGATCCAATTCGAAGATTAAGGAACAATGCAATCTGCAACATTAACTGAAATAGATAATTAGATAATTATAGCTTATACCGTCGGTTATACATTAAACATATTATGTGCAGCCGTGAAGGTCTTACGCACACGCATAAATGCCTATGCGCATGCGTCAAGCTTTGAGGTCCGGATTATAGATCATTACGGATTATGGGTGTCCGAATTAACGACTTTTGACTGTATAACTATTCCTCTGCTTGTCTCAATTCTTTACAGCAAAGGAAGTTTTCTTGAATTTCTTCCTCATTAATAAATGTTACAAGTGCTAGAACATGACATTTGTTGGTTAAACTTGTTGTAATGTCCACTTGAATTGAAAAACTGGCATTTCTCAGTTTATCACACAAAACCTCTTCAACATACTGTGACACATCACTGATTCGTCGATTTACTGTGTTGTTTGAAAGTAGAAAATTTTCAGTTCTCCTTACTGAATCTTCTTCCATGTTTTATCCACTATAATTTTACTTGCAAGTATTATTGTATTCTCACCAACAAAGTGATTTTTCCTTTTCTGTGCAATAAGCTCTACAACCTAATAACTTGTTTCATGAACCTTGTGAACTGTAATGCGTTTATTAAATTATACACTGTTTATTTTAAATTCTCAACAGTTGTATAATAATCAACAGTTTAAATTTTCATATCAGTATAATTTGTCATGAAATGCCTGTTCAGCTTTGTTGAAGCCATTGCTCAAAATATTTTTTTACTAGAGATGTGACACAATAGAAGAGGGCATTCTGGATCACCAGTCCAGATTCCGAGAAACCTGGAAACACTGGTTTAATTTTTCAAAACCAAGCATAAATAAAAGTTCCAACACATTACTCTGTGGGGTTATTTTATTTGCTGTCAGAGATACTTTTAGCAATCTTTAGATAAGAAGGTAAACAAATCTGATTTATAGATAAACTAAATTTTTAATTAATTTATTTCAAAAATACGTTTTACTTCAAACTCTAGAGAATTGATTACCAAAAAGATATTTCTTCACTCTTTAGAATGACAGTGTATCAAATTCATCAAATGCTTTTAAAATTATTCTGTAAAATAAACTTTTGTTAACATATCTTTTAATATCCTAATAATTTACAATTTATGAATTTCTCGCCAGCAAAAAGAGTCACTGTCATGCAAGAAACCTGATAAGAGTGTAAATCTGAACTCACTAAAGCTACTGAAAAATTTAACAGATTTCTTATGAGAAGTCATTGTAAACATATAATGAAAAAAGGTCTAAGAAATTTTTTTATATATCCATCAGTGATTCTGAATTCCTCAAGAAATATTATTCTCACAAAATTTAAACTTTCAGAGAATTATGATTGCCTACATTGATTTGGATTGGCCAATATCCCTGTTTGTATTTTTAACTTTTCTAAACAACCAGTGATGGCTAATCATTCAGCTTCATTGACATGGACTGGTCAATCTCTAGTTGTATTTTATCCTCTTCTAAATGATTGGTAATGGCTGAACATTTGGACAAGCACTCTGCAAACTTAGTTCTTCAATGGCTTGACAGCCTTGGGTGGGCCCTGGCCTTCTCCAGGCATCTCTACTTTTGGCAACTGTTTTCCAGTTTTTAACCTTTAAAATATTATTCTTTTCAACACAATCAATCCATCTTAGCAGGGGTCGGCCCCAAGGTCTATTTCCCATGGGCTTTGCCAAAACGATTTTCTTGCAGCAATGATCTTCATTCGTTCTTCATTAAGCCAGATGGCCAGCCCATTTAAGTCTCTGTAATTTGACGAATTTTACAATATCAGATTGTTTGTAAATTTTACAGAGTTTTAAATCAGATCTTCTTCTCCATGATCCATTCACTTGCACCCCACCAAGAATGCAACATACGATATTTCACTCAAAAATTCCCAGAGTTTCCTCATCATGTAAAGTCAATGCCCAAGTCTCTGATGCATAAGTCAAGACATATTTGCAAACTCAGTTACTTTGTTGAAAATTATTGGACAGCCAGAAATCTAACGATAAAATGACAATCGACTGGCATTTGTAAAATAAATAAAAGAAATAATAATCTGTAGATATAATAATAATATACATAAAAAAGTGTTTTCGATTACACTGATGTACCACTACTCTCATTGATTTTTCAATAGCTATACTTAGTACTTTTAAGCTGGTACAAGGGGACTAACATTCTGAATCTTCATCTGTCTAAAATATTGTTGCATGCATATAGTTCATAAAAGATTGAATGCACAAAGGTCCGATTGATAGATTGATAAAATTTATTTTATCAAAAGAAACACCTCAGAATTCTGAAACTTCCACAGAAATGCTCAAAATGAATTTAGCGGTATCTCGCGAACTTAGCAATTTTCGATGAACTTAGCGATATCTCAGAAAATTAGTGTGATAGCCATAAATAACTTAAATGTTAGATAGACTTGCCCCTGTATTCTTACTTTTCTGGCAAGCTTTGCCCTTTAGATTTTCATTACACAAAAGAAATACAACAATTTCATATATAATTTCACTAAAATTACCTATCTATGTACAAAATTTGTAAGTATATTTATATTATTTTCAACAATATGCTAAAACATACGCAAAAGAAACATGTTAATTTTGAATTTATCTATTTGGTATAAATTTAATCTCTATTACATATTTCAGGCTAATTTTTTTTTAACTGTAATAGATGACATTATGCTATACTTATGAGTCTTAAATCTCAGCAAGATAATTTGTACCTCAGGATGCGAAACAATTTGTTTTTCCCTCAAAAGGCACTGAGCTTGATTTAATTAGAATTAATGCCAATACTAAAAAATATTGTTAAGTGTGTTTCATCAAATGCAAAGTAATAATAATTAATAAGTTTTTGCCTTTTTTTTAAGAGGCAGGAAAATGCGAAATCTAAAATAAATCAGCATATTACAACATTGTAACTTTAATCCAAAATATAAGAAGATTAAATTACATCATAAAAAATTACTTTTTTTTAATTAAACAGGTAAGATGCATTTATTATATAGCTATACAAACCTGAAAATTTTCAGTGTCAATCAAAACTTCTCAAAATATATCAATATTTGGGGTAAAAAGAAAGGAAAGCACAGATTAAGACCCAAAAAAATTCTAATTTCTGCTAAAAATACTTAAAATCTGCTTGTAAATGCAAATTATAATCTTGTGACATTATCAGATTGCAATACAGTCAAATACTGAAAATCTTCCGACCTGAAATCTGCCAGCTAATGAAATCTGCATTGCCTCTCAAAATATAAACATTCAATTTATAGGTTCCGGAAACCCCAACATGGAGAATGAAATACCGAAGAAAAAAATTCTTACCAAAAAAAACGACGTCATAATTACTGAGTAATAATGAGTCATAACAGAAATACCCAATTATTGACATCATGGTAAAAGCTTTTTCCTCTCCAATCTGCATCGAGGTAAAAAAGCAGACAATTCACTCAACTTTTATTTCAAAGTCACAATTTACAGTGTATTTTGTGAAGTTGGTTATTTCATAAGATTGTTTAATACTGTCTTTAAAAAAAAAAAAAAAAAAAAAAAATCTATTTTGTGGATAAATTAAAAGTATTTTAAATTTCAGCGCTTTTTAATACAATGACACGCAAGAAAGTGTGTTCATGATTTTACTGCTTGCAACGCTGAAACACGTAAATGACAGTAATGCAAAAAGTGGAAATTTTGCAAAAGATGGAGGCTCCTTGGTTTATAGCAGAATTGTATGGAACTGCAACATGAACTGTGTATAATATATGGAGAAACAAACAAAAGCTGTTGAAATTTTACAGCAACAGTGATTCTAACACCAGAAATCTCGAAATTGGCAAATCTCGATGCTGTCTTGTACGAGTGGTTCCGGCAGTACCGAAGTGATAGAGTAACAGTTTCAAAACCAGTCCTGAGAAGAAAGGGAAAACAGATTCATGCTGGTTTAAAAATAAAGGAGCCATGCGAATTCATACAAGGAAATATATGAAAATTCATACAAGAAAAGGTAAAAAAAAAATACATGAATTAATATACCATAGCTAAATAACCTTTGAATTCCTTTTTTATTAATAGGTAGAAATAAATAAATTTTTATCCTACTGAATCGGTGTCCGCCGATAACATCAGGGCAAAAACATCACAGACAAAAACGTTGCGGAGAAAACAACGCAAGGCGAAAACGTCGTGCTACAAACATCGTGGTAGAAAACATCGCAGTTCTAAAACATCGTGGCACAAAATATCGCCCGCGAAAATAAAGTGGTTCAAAAACTTCGCAGTTTAAAAACATCGTCGTCAAAAATATCTTGGTAAAAAATAAAGTATCTACAAATGATCGCATGACGATAACATCGCAGACATGCTTTTTTTCAGGCTTTAATAGTAATTGTAAATGGATATTCCTATAGTGATTGAGCGCAAGATGGAAAGAAGGATAATTTTTACTTTCATATTTTTTATTAACTAATACATTTTTGCTGATAAAGTAAGAAGGAAACTTGAGCATAGAAAAGTAATGCAACTTATAGCACTTAACAGAATTTTAAACCGACATAGTTAACTAACAAAGGTCATTAATAAATTACTTTTTTAAGCTTTTACTGGTAATTTTTCATAAAAAGTATAATCTAAAAAAAGCCTGAAAAAAATAAAGCATGTCTGCGATGTTATCGTCATGCGATGATTTGTAGATACTTTATTTTTTACCACGATATTTTCTAAGACAATGTTTTCAAACTGCGAAGTTTTTGAACGGCTTTATTTTCGACGACGATATTTTGTACCACGATGTTTTAGACCTGTGATGTTTTCTCTTTGCGATGTTTTCTCCCACGATGTTTTGTAGCACGACGTTTTCGCCTTGCGTTGTTTTCTCCGCGACGTTTTCGTCCACGATGTTTTCAGCTGTAACCACTGAATCATATTCACATAATACTTTAATTTATCAGATTGACCCATTTAATTAAAAACAAACAATACATAAAAAAATCATTTAAAAACAGAAAAAAAAAAAAAAAAAAAAACACTTACCAAAAAATAAGAAATGCATCTTCTCTAACTAGTTCAGTTCCAGCACATACATAATTTTCATTCAAGTTGAAATCAAAACAAGAAAGAGGTTTCAATATCGTATCAGTATCATCTAAAAAAAAAAAAAATCAAGTTTTTATAACTGAAAAATAATCTATAATAATAAAAGAAAATGTTTATGTTTTTGTCATATAAATTAAAGATAGAAAGACCCAGCACTATTAAATTTGAAATACTGATTCTCCAGAGAGATCCACACATATATTGAAACCATTTTTCCGCATTTAATTTAGATTTTTAGCCCAAAGGGTGTTAGCCCAGAAGGGCTATTAATTTCATTTTGGCATTTTGTAGCATTTCACCTTTCAAATTGTTGAAGCCAAATATTATCGCCCTGTATTATATGTAAAGAAATTAAATAATGAAGAATCTACATAATTGCATGTATGTTTCTCGCATTGTGATAAAACAACGATACCTAGAGCCATCAAATTTTGAATAACGTTCATCTCCACCTGAATATGGGCATCTGGAAGCCTAAATTTGGAATTTGTTTTATTATCTTTTTTTCGTTTATGAGTTTTTGATTAAGAAACTCAATGATTTCAAAGTGAGCAATGGTAACACTGTACAGGGAAAAAAACATTTTGATCTCCTGCGTACGAAACTATGTATCAGAAATTCTAAAGATATGCTCTTTTTAAATTATTTTGTGATATTGCTGTTGAACTGAATTTTATGGTTTAAGTGTGAAGAGCATAATATTTAATAAATAAAGGTAACACACAAAACATTTGAAAACTTTCAGATTTTTTTTAATTATTTTTTCCCTCCATATTTTTCACATAATTTACAATCAAATTAATCATCACAGAAATTCTGTCTTTACACCACTGGATATATCCAAAAAAAATTTTCTAAATGAAATTTATTCAAAATCTTTGATTATTAACTTTTGGTTACACTCCTAAAGCATATGCCCTTCCTTCATAGTTTATTAAATTTGCTTCCTTAACAACAGTTCATATTTTAAAATTTTGTAAAAGTATTCTGTAACTTTAAATAGGATTTTTTTTATTTCACATTAACTGTATTACATGATATTACTTTTTGTTTCCTTATCAAAGTACACTTTTCATCTAGTATTAATTTTCATCTTATTAATCTCATTCTTTTCTTGCAGTAATTTTAACTTCCAATTTAAATTCAGTATATATATTTAATTCAGAGCACTAAATATATTTTCTTTGCAGCACTTCATCTCAATACTTCACTTTTCATATCACCTGCTTTCTTAGATTTGTCTTTTCAAGTTTGTAATGCCTATACCAGCATAAAAAAGGCAATACGTACATGAGTCAGCAGTAGTTTTACTCCAACCAGAAAACAATGAACTTTGAACATCCATGAATTTAAGATTAGTTTGATAACAATTCTTATTGTGAACAATTAAAAAAAATATTTTCAACCTACATCATCACAAAAATGTAATGCTTACATAAATCAGCAGTGGTGAAAATCTGGATATTGTTTGTTTCAAATGGAAAGATGCTGAATATTTTACAGCCTATATTAAGAAATTTTGTAATTTTGCCTTTTAAGCTAAGAACTTTCATGGGTACTTTACTAGTTCAAAGTATTTTAGCCAAAGGTTTATATGTGTTACAAATTTTCATCAATAATTTTACTTTGACCAATTCAATGTGCTATAAATAAATTTCTGATCATATCAAACCCAAATTGACAGAGCTTACTTTTCTTTGGAAATCATAAATATGGCTACTTCCTGGAAGTAAGATGTGATTAAAAAGGGGTGATTAAAAATTATTGCCACAGGCAATAATCAGATTTTTAATTATTTAAAAATTTTTATTGCACTTTGCAGTTGCATTTATGTCAAATACAGGTATTTTTTATCAATGCAAAACTAACTATACAAACACATTTCAAAATGTTGATATTGCTACATATGTGCAGGTTTGTAATGGACTGAAAGCATACAGAAGCAATGACAGCTTGATAAAATTTAATTTACCAAAAGAAGACTTTACACTTCTGGAACTTTCCATAAAAATATTCATACAGTCTTCTCAATATCACAGACTGCAATCAGTAGTTACCATTTAAAACTACTTTAGATATGCTTTGCATTGCATTAAACAGAACACATGCAAAGAACAAAGCTTGCACAGAGATCTCTCAGTACTCTGAGTCAATTCTGAACTAAAACATGAGGCTTTCTTCCGGTGTTAAACTATATAGCATATATAATTATATTTGCACCAACCCCCAGGAAATTACCAGTACTTTCCATTTCTCAAAATTACTGGATTCTTATCCTAATTCTTATTCTAACACTTTGATGACAGTTGCTAACATTACATTTTCATTGCACATATTTTCTCATGTGCAGTTTTGTTGCAAGAGAATTAGAACACTTGCAGTTTTCTGAAAAAAATATCACATACCTGAAAAGTAAATATATTATGCAAAATGCAGTAAAAACTAGCACAAGATAACAGTCATTAACCCAAGAACTTTCAGCAGAAAATAGGTAACATAAAAAATTAATAAAAATAATAAATATCACATACCTGAAAAGAAAGGACTCCTTTTGCTTTATTTTTTTGAAAAATCTAGTAAATATATTATGCAAAATGCAGTAAAAACAAGCACAAGATAACAATCATTGTCCCAAGAACTTTCAGCAGAAAAAAGGTAACATAAGAAATTACTAAGATAAATATATGCAAGCTATAATTGATCTGAACTTGACACTGAGATTTCTTAAAATGGCATCCCTACCATCTCTTAAACATTAAAAAGCATTAATGAATTAAGAAATAAAAAATTGCATCTTTCTAGAAAAATTCAAAATAACTTCTTGGGTTGTACAATGTATTGTTTATAAATTGCAGAACCCAAGACTAGCAGGAGAGCAAAGTTTGAACTGTAGGTGATACATCAGCAGGAACCAGTTAATACCCAAGAACTTAATCTGGCAATACTCCAGCAGTAAATACAAACACAGGAACCTATCTTCGGTATCTCATACCAAGAACCTTTCTCAAAATTTAAACATCATAGACAGAAAAAGTCATGTTATAAGTAAAATACAAAAAATATATTAAAAAAAAATCTGAAAGTTTTCAGATTTTATATTATGCCCAAAGGGGCTTTTTTTAAAATGTTTTGTGTTTTACCTTTATTTATTAAATATCATGTTCTTCACGTTTAAACCATAAAATTCAATTCAACAGCAATAAGCACAAAATAATTTTAAAAGAGCATATCTTTAGAGCTTCTGATACACAGTCTTACACACTGGAGATAAAAATCCCCCCCAGTACAGTGCTGCCATTGCTCACTTTGAAATCGTTGAGTTTCTTAATCAAAAAATCATAAATGCTTAACAAAATATGAAATAGATATTAGAACAAATTTGAAATTTGGACTAACAGATGCCCCTATTCGAATGGAGGCAATGCGAGAAATGTACATACATTTATGCAGATTCTTCAATATTTAACTTCTTTAAATATAATACAGGGCAATAATATTTGGTGGCAACTATCTGAAAAGTGAAATGCTGTGTATAGTAAAACACTAAAAAATGTCTAAACAAAATTAATAGCCCTTTGGGGTAATAAATAAATAAATTTATTTTATAATAATAATAAATGTTACTCAGATTTGTTTTATATAATTTTCACAGAAACCGCATTCATGTTTCTATTGTGAGTGACTGTAAATGCTTATTTTACAATTTTAGCAAATAAACTCTGTCCTTTTTGCTAGGACACAATGCACATCTTTGATAAGTTTCAAACTACTAAGTGGCTCATTAATACTGAAATCTTATATGTTTTTACTTGTTGTATGCTTGTTTAGTTTCACTTATCACTGTGTTCTTTTAAATGATTTAATGAGTGTTTTTAGAAACAAGCATCTGTTTCAAAATTTCTTTTTAAACCTTTTGGAACGACTGTCTTTATTAACCCTCTGAGTAGCATGCCTCTTTAGATCTGCCAAGAACCGTATTTAAATATTATTTACTTGTTAAAATTGTACAATTAGTTATCTTAGGCTCTGTTTTCATAAACTTTCATTCTTTATTATTTAAATCTTTAAATAAAATTTTAAAATAAAGTATTTTAAATAATAACATAATACAGTCAAAAGTCGTTAATCTGCACGTCCATAATCCGGAATGATCTATAATCCGGACTTCAAAGCTACAAACTTTCTGCGCATGCGTCAACGCATAATGCTTTCACGCATGCGCATATGCGTTTACGCATGTGCATATGCATCATGCATGTGCAAAATACGTTTATGCATGTGCATAATATGTTTACGCATGCACTTTTAATATATAACAGACGGTATAACGGTACAGTGAAAGTCTTTAATCCGGACTCATCGGGACTTCGGCGATTCTGGATTATCAGTTTTTCCGGATTATAGATCATCAGTTTAAATCTGGTAAGATGGCATGCAGAAATTATAAAATTAAAAATATGAAACCGTAATTTATGAAATGAAGATAAATTATGATCTAAAGGGTATCAAAATTTACAAAAAAAAACTTTATAATTATTTGTTTACTTTCAACGTGCGCATGTGTAAAGCATACATTGAACATAGTCGAAATTAGAAAATTGCAACCAGAAAACTATTTGATGTGTATTCGTGATATTTATAATGACGAGGAATTTGATTTAAATCATATTAAAGACAGAGTACATCGAGATGAAATACTACATTTAGTAAGGAATTATAAGCCGAATAAAATAAAAACATCTGCCCTGAAGATAAGGATAGTGCTGAGAGATCAACTTCCAGTTCATTGTGCGCCGCGTCGTCCCCCCCCCCCCGCACGTTAAAAAATGCTTGGCATAATTTATGGCCATCTACCATATTTCATGGTGAGGAGGATGAAGATGATAGCTGCGAATTTGAAGGTTTTTGGACATCGCAAACTAAAGGCGAAATTTTCTAGTTGTTGGATTTTGTAAAGAAATGTGGAGAAGCGATAATAAATGAAAATGATATAAGAGAAGTTTTTCATTGCGATGACAATATCCCAATCATCAATCAATTAACGGACAGCGAAATCTGTAGTATGGTTCTAGATCCAGAAAATATCGCTTCCGATAGTGAAGAAGGTAACAGAGGTTATTGAAAACAAAAAAATTTCGATTAACAAATTAGTTGGTATTCTCGACACAGCAATTATAATAGGACTTGAACAGCGGAACTCTGTAACTAAACAAGAAATTATGTCTGTTTATAGAATTAAAGAGAAAGTATTAGCACATAAAACGAAGCAACTTAAACAACTTATATTGAAAGAAATGTTTAATAAAGTAAACAAATAAATATTAAGCTTTTTTTTTTTTTTTTTTTTTCTGTAAATTTTGATACCCTTTAGATCATAATTGCTCTTTATTTCATAAATTACGGTTTCATATTTTTAATTTTATAATTTCTGCATGCCATCTTACCAGATTTAAACTGATGATCTATAATCCAAAAAAACCGATAATCCAGAATCGTCGAAGTCCCGATGAGTCCGGATTAAAAGACTTTTGACTGTATATAGCAAATGACAAGAAATCTCATGACAAGATAAAGGTTGTCATGCCATGTAGGGGTTTAATAAAGTGTTTGTTTTAAGAAACTAAAGATTCATCTTCTATTTCAGTATCTGTATCATTTCCTGTACAAGAATTGTGATCACTAAAATATTCTTCAACCAAATTTCATTCCCTTCAATAAAGGACACATCATGACTCAAAACAGTTTCTAAACGCATTCTGTGATATTTGCATACCATGATCATAGCTAAGATAGTATGCCATGATGAATACTGAAGCAAAATGAAGAATAAAATCCAAACAACATGGGAAGTCACAGAGTATGATATACTTGTGGGAATCCCTTCCAAGAACACTATTTTTAAGAATGGCCCAGTTTTCCTGTTTCAAAGAATGTGACTTTCAATTCAGCTATTAGAAATTTTAGGCTTGAACATACAAAAGAACATGGCATAAACAATGAAAGTAAATAGCTTGGTTATCTCTTACACAATGCAAGTGCTCATGGTGCTTATACATATGTCATAATTGCCCAAGATATAATTAAAACCTACTACTTTGATTCTAGTATAAAGAAATTCTCTGAATTTCAACACAAGACATTACAATGTTGCTCTTTTGATAAAATCATGCCAAATTACTGAACAAGTGAGAGATAAACCAACAAAAAAAAATTACAAAATAATTTTTATTAATTACATATATATATATATATATATATATATAAGTTCTTCTCAAAACTATATAAAAGAAAAAAAAAAATTACCGTAAAATGTCTGAACTGGATCATTTTTACTTCTTGTGTCCCATATACTAATAAAAGAAATAATTCTATTACACAAAAGAAATAATTACAAAAATTTTTAAAAAATTGCTATTTTACTTACAAAATTCTCCCATCTAGAGAACTTGAAAAAAGCATATGTGGGTCTTCATGGCTAAATTTAATATCTGTAATTGTTTTTTGATGACCTAAGAAAAGTTTGATAAAATATTAAAGAGCTATATTTATAAAAACAAAAGCTTAAAATTAAAATATAGCTGTAACTACCTTTAACAAAATTTTAAATACATGATTTGAACATTAAAATAAATTACACTTTCCCTCTATCAAGAGTCAACTTTATTCGAGTTTTCAATCATTTTCAAAGTTTGGAATTATAATTACAAACTTTTCCCTTCTTTTTATGTCTACTCCCTTCTTCCCACGTGATCTTTCATAATACAGTCAAAAGTCGTTAATTCGGACACCCATAATTCGGAATGATCTATAATCCGGACCTCAAAACTAAAAACTTTCTGTGCCTGCGCCGCGTTTATGCGTGCGCGTAAGACCTTTTACGACTGCGCATATGAGTGTGCGCAAGTGCAGAATACGTTTTCGCGTGCGCGTTTTATGTATAATGGACGTATAAGCTAAAATTATCTAATTATCTATTTCAGTTAATGTTGATGATTGTGTTGTTCCTTAATTTTCGAATTGGATCCGGCTTATTATTTTTTGCAGACTGTAAGAGCAATTTTATAAAAGTAAGCTTAAACTTTCGATTATATCAAATAGAATTTCCGATATATATTTGTTAATATGTAAAGGATCTAAAGCGAAAGTATGTTTTGAAATCCGAAATCTGTTTATCAATTTCACGCTGCTCGGCGGGGGGAATGCCGCGGCGGGCACGTAATGAATTGGAAGTTGATCTGTCAACACTATCCTTATCTTCAGCGCAGATGTTTTTATTTTATTTGGCTTATAATTCCTTACCAAATGTAGTATTTCATCTCGATATGCTCTGTCTTTGATATGATTTAAAACAAGTTCCTCGTCATTATAATTCGCTTCTGATAGCGAAGAAAGTAACAGAGGTTATTGAAAACGAAAAAATTTCGATTGACAAATTAGTCGGTGTTCTCGACACAGCAATTATAGGACTTGAACAGCGGAACTTTGTAACTGAACAAGAAATTATGTCTGTTTAATAGAATTAAAGAGAAAGTATTATCACATGAAATGAAGCAAAACTTAAACAACTTACATTGAAAGAAATTTTTAATAAAGTAAACAAATAAATATTAAGCTTTTTCTTTTTGCAAATTTTGATACCCTTTAGATCATAATTGTTCTTTATTTCATAAATTACGGTTTCATATTTTTAATTTTAGAATTTCTGCATACCATCTTACGAGATTTAAACTGATGATCTATAATCCGGAAAAATCGATAATCCGGAATCGCCGAAGTCCCGACGAGTCCGGATTAACGACTTTTGACTGTAAAAAGAACTTGCTTAACTTTCCATCAGCTATGCCAAAAACTAATCATATATACCTTTGAAATGGCCAGCCAAATTCAAACTTACTTCAAAAAGGTAATATTACTTAAAATAATATTAACTTGAGACAAAGACCTTCAATAAAATACATAGAATAATTTATAATTTTCTTATGCTACAAAGTGTTTTTATAAAGTGTTTTTTTTACTTTAGATTATGAAGTTAATTTTTAAAAATTGTATATTAAAATATTATACATAAAGTTATTCTGGCTTGAACTTATACAGAAACTTTAAATACTGATTAATATTGTTTTATTTGTTTTTTGTTGTTTTGAGAATGGCAACAAAAAGATTATTCAATTTTTGTTATTCTTGGAATGACAAGAGATTTTTAATGATATTGTTCTAAAAAGTTGTTTACATTTGCTAAGAACTAAATAAAGATTATTTTTATTAAAAATGTGGATTGACATTATTTGATGACACGGAGTTCTAAAAATAAAGATTAATTTGGAGTCAGAGCCAATAACTGGTGACTTGAACTTTCAATTTTAAAGTGAATATGTCTGAAGATGATAAAACTGTCAGGGATCCTGCACAAGAACTCTGTAAGGTAAGTGTCAAAATTCCTCCATTTTGGTTGGATCACCCAGAAATATGGTTTTTTCAAGTTGAGGCTCAGTTTAAGATAAATGGAATTGTTTCGGAAGAAATGAAATTTAACTATTTAGTATACAGTTGGAACCTAAATATGTTGAGAACATCTGGGATATCGTAACAAGTAATTCCGCTACTAAATATACAGAATCCAAAACAAAGCTTTTGAATTTATTTAATTAAAGCGAAAGTACTAGAATTAAAAACTTCTTACAGGAATCGATTTAGGCAACTTGAAACCCAATCAATTATTACAAAAATTAAAATCTGTTGCAACATTGGATGTATCCAAAACTTTAAACTTTATGGTTAGAGAAATTGCTGGATTCTGTGCGGAATATAATACTTGTTACTGACGAAGAATTACCCAAGTTGGCGATTATGGTTTATAAAATTTCAGACATGACACCTTCTAAAGAGATTTGTGGTGTATCAACAGCTGGTAATTGCTCAAATACAGAACTGTTAATGAAAATTCAATCCCTTGAACAGCAAATTGCCAAAATGACTGTTCATCATATATCGACACCATGATTTAGAAACAACTATACGTTCTGCAGATGATCTTGCAGTACTTCTAGGAAAAGATTTAATTCTAAAGGGAAATATTGCTTTTATCATTTCCGTTTTGGTAACAAATGTCATCAGGATAAATGTACTCAGCCGTGCTGTTGGTCAACTGATAGATCATCCAATCATGGAAACGACAATGTGCAGTAGAAGAGGCGGCAAGTTCTACTGCCAATAATGTTAAAGAATGTCGCCAATTTTCCTATTTATCAGAGATAAAAATTCGAAAGTGTGTTTCTTAGTAGATAGCGGTGCAGACGTTAGCATTTTACCTGCATCAGCACAAGACAAACAATCCGATGATTTCAAGTTGTATGCAGTGAATGGTACTGAAATCAAAACATATGGTATTAAAACGTTAACACTTAATTTAAGACTTGAGCATGAATTCCAATTTCCATTTATAGTAGCCAAAATTAATGAAGGAATTTTAGGAGCTAATTTCCTTAACAAATTTAAATTAATAATTGATTTACATAGCAAAAAACTGATTGGTGGACTGATTCAACTAAAGGTAACTGGGGAAGTTGCTTCCATCAGTGAAAATAGTGATATCGTTACAGTAACCCATTCAACAAAATTTAATACTCTTCTAAAACAATACCCAGACTTATGCAAACCAAATTTATTCTTTATCAGGTTTAAAACATAATGTTCAACATCATATCATAACACATGGTCAACCTGTGCATGAATGAAGCAAGACAGTTGGATCCTCGAAAGCTTGCAGTAGTTAAGCAAGAGTTCCAATTCATGTTGGACAATAACATAATAAGACCCTCGAGTTGGCAAGTCCTTTGCATGTAGTGTTAAAAAAAGATGGTACTCTTCGCCCATGTGGAGATTATAGACAGTTAAAGGATAGAACAGTTCCTGATAGATATTCTATTCCTAGGATAGAAGACTTCCATCATATTTTAAAAAGTATGAACATTTATTCCAAAATAGATTTATTTAAAGCCTACTATCAAGCACCCATTCCTGAAGAAGAGAGATGTAAAACTGCTATTATTACTCCTTTTGGATTACATGAGTTTATTGTTCTGAGTTTGGGTTTGAAGAATGCACAGCAGCATTTCAAAGATTTATAAATACAGTTCTTTCTGGTCTAAATTTCTCTTTTTCATACTTAGATGACATTCTGATAGCATCTAATAGTGAAGAACAACACAGAATACAATTGAAGCTAGTGTTTGAAAGATTAAATGTCTATGGACTCCGCATTAATGTTTCCAAATCCATCTTTGGTACACAAGAAATAGAATTCTTAGGTTATTTAATTACTCCTCAATGATCGCGACCTTTACCTGGTAAAGTCCAAACTATTGTTAATTACAAGCTTCCAACAACCATTCACGAACTCAGAACATTCTTAGACCTTAATTTTTATTGGCAATATTTTAAAAAAATGCATCAAAAAATCAATCTTTCCTACACGACTACCTTAAACGAGCCCGAATAAAAGATAAACGGAAAATTCAGTGGACAGATGAAGCTAAGGAAAATTTCAGTGATGCAAAGATGATTTAATCAATACAACACTCTTATCATTTCCAAACCATGAACTACCTCTGTCATTATATACAGATGCTTCAGACTCGGCGATTGGAGTGGTACTTCAACAATTTGAAGATAACGGATGGAAACCTGTTGCATTTTATTCCAAAAAACTAAACGAAGCACAAAAGCATTACAGTACTTAAGATAGAGAGTTACTAGGAATTTACCTCTCCATCAAACACTTCAAATTTTTACCGAAAGGAAGAACATTTACAATATTCACAGACCCTAAACCCATAATCTTTGCATTTAAACAAAAGCCAGAAAAACCATCACCTTATGAACTTAGACATTTACATCCCTCCATTTTCAACTGATATTCAGCCCGTAGAAGGTCAAGACAACACTGTTGCAGATACACTTTATCTAGAATTGAAGAAATTTCTTTGATCGACTACGACAAAATTGCAGATGAACAAATTATGGATAAAGAATTGCAAAATTTGAAGACATCAGCAATTTCCCAGAACTTCAAGCAGTATCCGCAACCTTCTGGTAAGTCTTCGTGGTGTGTAACTTCAACGAATAATATGAGACCATATATTCCTGACAGTTATTGCTAGAAAATATTTTATCAAATGCATAACGTAGCCCAACCTGGCATTATGTCATCTGCAAAACTATTATAGTCTAAATTTATTTGGCCAAGTATCCATAAAGATGTACAGCTTTGGACTCGATCTTGCATGGCTTGCCAAAAAAGTAAAATTAATCGATACACAAAATCAAGTTTCGGTGAGTTTCAACTGCCTTCAGAAAGATTTTGTGATGTGCATATTGACCTCAATGAACCCCTACCACCATCCAATGGGAATATTTACTGTCTCACTTGCACTGACCGGTATTCTAACTGGATGGAAACGATTCCACTTAATAACATTTCAGCAGACACAGTTGCTAAAGCATTTTAATC